TAATATTGGGTTCTTTCTTTTTTTTTTTTAACCCTGACCTATTTTTGATATGGTAGCAATGCACTCTTGACAATCTCTGGCACTTACCTAAAGTACCGAATGGACAAGTAAGCAGATTAACGAAATGCTTGTGACCACTTTTTTTATGTTCTTGCCATGAAATTTCAGTCGTTATTTGGCATCACAATTTCCAAGCTTGAGGCTTGAGTCCACAAACAACTATTTTCTATAGGGCCTGTGCAGTTATGAATTATGCACTTTAGACACACTGTGCAAGTATGATTAAAAGTCTACCTGTCAAATACAACATAGATATACGTATTTGTCAAACTAAAAATTTAGGTAATGAAAACCGGATAAGGTTTCAGTTGAAAAACGTTTGGGGTTATTTCTGTAGTACAAGAGTTTACATGATATATTTATATATTCCATAATTTTTCTTTTAGTTCCGACTGTGCTGTCCAAGATGGAGAAAGCCATTTTAAATGACAGCCTCAAATATACTGTGGTGGAGCAATGTCTGGTGTGCCATAAGGAAGAATGGATGAAGTAAGTAACAGAAAAGTTATGTTCATTTAGATATTGTGTGTGTGCCTTTGTGTGTGCAACAGTAAATATTCCTTTTATTACATCGGATGTGCATATCAGTGCAGTGTACATAAAAGCTGATAGCTACAAGGACAAAGCTGTCGTATGAATGTGGGGAGTTTGTACAAATATGCAAAAATAAATAAATAAATAAATAGGTTAAAGGATGATATTTTTCCCCTGACACTACCCTTGCCTTCTCCCCCCACCACCCTGTAGCAAAAGGCTATTTTCATCAGTTTTATGCAGTGTCAAACTCTTAGACATAACCTTAAACTTTTCTAAATGTACTGATATGTAATATCTATCAATCAATCAATAAATAAATAAATGAATAAACACTAAGTCTCTGGCAAAAGCTTTATCTTTCAATGTTCTCTCATCAGATGCAAACCCTAATTTGTCATCACTGGAGAGGATCAGTGGCAACACTGTTGGAGTCCAGAATATCTTAAGAGGCCCAGTCTCAAATATGTGTTTAAAAGATTTTGTTATGTCATAGATATTTCCTTATTTTTCTTGCAGCAAAGTGAAAGTGGTGTTCAAGTTTACTAAAGCTGAAGGTCCTCGCTCAGAGGAAGAAACAAGAAGACTGCTGCAAGTGCTTGGGGCCCAGGAAGAAGACAAACAGGTGCTGAAATTCTGGATGACAGGACTTAGTGTGCAATACAGGACTCATATGCTGTCAACATCAAAGGGACACTTGGCAGATTAGACAAAAACTTTCCTTGGGTGTCAAATAGTACCTGACCTGCTTTTATTACAAGTCAGAAACATTTTTGGTGTATACTTTCTATGAAAATTTTGTGTTTAATATCATATGAAAATCTAGTAACTTGTTTGATTACATTCAAAATAAAAGCAAGTAAACATAGACGGACGCTAAACGGATCTGGACCCAAGGGCATTTCATATCAGACAGTCTTGAAATGTCTCAAAAACACGTTTTGGCTGTAGATTATACGTCCTTTCAGTCTCTTTCTTGTTAAGAATACTGAGATGTTTAGAAGCTGTCTTTGAAAGAAATTTAAGTAAATATATGTTTGGCATGCAAACAGCCTCGTTTCTTTGTATATGCCCTATGGGCCATAGTCTTGAGACAGCTGTATAACTTTGATGTATTTTTAACAAACAGCCTGGGCAATAATACATGTTATCTTTTAAGGGACATTTTATCTTATGTGTACCTTTTCACTTTCAATTGTATGGATGCTATTCTTCAGGATGTTACATACATGTAGTAAATACTGTGTTCGCATTCCTCCAGTGTTTTCAGGAATTCCTTGGATGCGTGGTATACAATAAAGATACTGTTACCCTTTGTCTTTCTTTGAATTAGAAACAGAAACTCGTGAACTTCAACTAACCTGTTACTTTGAAAAAAAAAGGCACAGAAGGACAAGGGATAATGCGTAACGCTATTCTTTTATTCTTCTCCGTCTGATAATCCATCATTATCATCGAGATTTCTCTAGATCCCAGCCTGTCTCCTAAAAGACTGAAAATAATGATAAACAAAAATTAACGGCCACTTAATAACTAGTGAAGTTAACTAAGTGGGTTTAACAATGTTATATTGAATATTTATGTAGTCCTGCGTGAAAGGATCCATAAAAAATCCACTAAAATTTATAACTTTGTAAAATGTTAAATTGGGCTGTAGTCTTATTACAATATTTTGTGTTTTTAGACGGTAAACAAGTCTCGTTACCTTTACGCATGCGTCTTGAACGATCGTTCAATATTCTTCGAATGGAAAAATTCTTCCATGCACTGCATAAGTGGCAGTGATAATCAACTGAAGTATTATAAATGATTGAATAGGTTAAAAATAAAATGCAAATAGTATGCAAGGGCAATATAAAATGCCAAACTTTTTTCAGTGGAGACAACATAAAACGCACTTGAATGTAAAGAGGGTGAAAATTTTC